TGCTTATTTTTGACTTCTACTCATTATATTTTCACAAAAGTATCTGTACTTTCTATTCCTTACATTTTAAAACAAACGTTACGAGTTACTCTTGGCTTCGGTTTAATGTTTCTAAATATTTATTTCCCGTCATGCGCTCCATCCAATGCAGATCATTGGCTCCATCCACATCTAGTGAAAACTAGTGTGATTGGATGAGTCATAGAACGCAAACACTCATTGGTTAGCTAAAGGAAATCATCAGAAGCAAGCAGGTGTTCTTCAAACTGCTAACGTGAATTGTCTATGCCATGCTACAATGTGGGATTCAGAAAAAGATGTTTAAATGTCTGAAAGGTCGGACACAGGCGAGAGCGTATCGGGAGACGGAGACCAACAAGACCTCTCTCATCCTTGGCCCTATCTCAAAGAATTTTTAGAAATAGCTGAAAAATTGAGCTTTCAGTTCATATAGTGGCATCTGGCTGTTTTTTTTAAAGGTTACTTTATACTTTAAGTAGTTTTTGGAGCACATACTTTTTCACTTTTACTTGAGTAAAGAGGTCAAGTTGATACTTCAACTTTTAACAGAGTATTTTTAAACTGCAGTATCTATACTTCTACTTAAGTAACAAATGTGTGAACTTTTGACACCACTGGTAATCGTTGTTGTTCTATATCATCGGAGGAATCTTCGGGATGTTCTGCCAAAACAAAGCAGGCAAAGCTAACTAAACTGGGCTTCCTTTTTGGTGATAAATATGACATGCTTCATAGCGATGAATATGCTGCTGTTTTAAGCATTTGAAAAAGCTGCATTCAAACAGCTGATCGACACTCTTAATTCATGATACAAAGTTCCGGGCTGCAAGTTTTTCTCTAACACAGCGCTCCTGATTTGAACAATGAGTGAAGGGAATCAGTGCAAAATGAACTGCAATGTGCAGTTTCTTACCACACCACAAAGTCAGACCTTTGGTCAAGTCACACATCCAGCCCTTCCTCACTCCCTCAGTTCACTATACAGACAGAGAATAGAACCTGAGGAGTACGTGTTTGATAACACAACTCAGGTCCCTTAACTTAAGTTATTTTTCTATTAAAAATTAATTTATGGTTAATAAAGATTTAATTAGAATTCTGTGTTTGTGTGTAAGTAAATAATTTGCACTTAAAATATGGTTTTAAATCTTTTCAATAATTATCCATATCGATCAATATACATTTTTTTTATCAATATACTTTTTTTTATATCATCCAGCCCTTAATTCAATTCTTGAAAAAACTGATCCGTTCAGTTCACCGTTCACTAAAAATATGAACGTATTCACTGAATGGCGTTCACTACTCTGACTATAGCTACTCTGAACATCCCCTAAGGTTGAGTATTAACCAGATATTCTTATAATCACTAAGCTAAGTTCAGTTAAAGAGGAAAGGAAGGAGCGGAGCATAAAACTAATTCTAGTTCATCTCCATGACTGAACTGGATTTTATTCACACTGCACCGTTTCTAAAACTATACTTATAAAAATCTTAAATTCTCACTTCATTTAAACAGTAGACTTACATTTAAAAGAAAAGAAATAGATTTTTTTTTTATCCATTTTTACATTCTCATGTAAATGACTTCATGATTAGAATTAACGGTAACACTTTACCATCATAACCTTTAAAATTAAAAAGTGTGAAAATCATTTATAATCTGTATTTAAAACATTTATAAAAAAAGTAAATAAATATACCCTTACCCTAAACTCAGTGGGATTAAGACTCTAAGGCTACGTTCACACTGCAGCCTGAAGTGACCCAATTCCGATTTTTTTGCCCATATCTGACCTGTATCTGATCTTTTTATGACAGTCTGAACGACACAGATCGGATTGGATATGTGGTCCTGAATCCGATACGTATCTGATCTTTTCAAATGCGACCTGTGTCTGTACGGCCAGGTCGCATTCATCCGACCTACACGTCATTGATACTTGACAAATGTTACTAAACGTTACTAATCTGCGTCCTACTAAGCGGAGGCGGGAAAAACTAACAACCATTGCGGAAGATAACACAGAGAGCAGTCAATGGAGAGAAAGTGAGGTTGCTGACTTAATTCATATTTGGAAAGATAGCTCGATTCAGACCAAACTCGAAGGGTCTTACCGGAACCGGGTTCGTAATGTGCCTGCTCCTGTTGGAGAAGAACTTAAAGAACGCAATATACGCTGCAGTATTACGAGTCATGTTTACTTCCGCAAACACTGAGGACGCTTGCTACATGTGACGTCATCGCGTCCTCGAGTGCGCATGCGGGACACTTCGGTTGAACGCTTTCAGTTCACACAGTAGATCACATACAAGTCGCATATACTTGGAAGTGTGAACGGACACGCAAAAAAATCCGATTTCACAAAAAAAATCGGAATTGAGCATTAAGGCCTGCAGTGTGAACGTAGCCTAACTTGCCTTTATTTTTAACTGAACATGCCCTGTCATTTTGGACTTTAATAGCTTAATAAATTATTTGTTTAACTTTTATAAATGGTTTAGATGCAGTTTATGAATGAGCATTAATTAACCATTTGTTAATCGTTAGTAAATGGTCTCTTTACTATCTTTAAATGATGGTTATAATAGTTATTGTAAAGTGTAACTGAATTATTATAGGAAAGTTGACCAGAGTCATGTTTGCTATTTAAAATGAAATCCACAGAACTTCACTGTATGCATGCAGTCCTGTTGTGATGTAGGAACAGACCTGTGTTAAAAACAATAAAAAAAGGTAAACCACAGGTCTTGCTGGTAGTAAATACTACTTAAATTTTATGAACAGTTTAATAGAATTCACACCAAAACATTCCAGCACGCACACAGATGCAGATCCTTTGAACTGGCTCTGTGTGTGTTAGAATCACTAACCTCTCATTAATACCTATTTTCATGAATGCTGAGAAAGCTTTGCGGTTAGCTCATTGTAATTGCTTCCCCACACATGTTCATGCACAAACACACTCCACACACACCTATAAAAAATAACCACTTCTATTAGTCCTTCTAATTGAAAGGCAATTAGGCCTCAGGTTTCATGGTGTGAGCTAAACGGTGGGTGTCTGTTTTCAGCAGCGTTGTGTTTTGAAGCTTTTAACAGACCACAAAGAACCGGCCTTTGAAACTAGATACCCTAAATCGAAGTTTAATGTACTGACTCTTTGTACCTCTCAGACCTCTGCGCCCTTGATATTCCTCACTGCATATTCCCTCGTTCAGCCACTAAAATCAGCACAGAACACATGTAAAATTTCTTCAACTTCCTTTGGTATCTATGTTCATCTTGCTGCATAATTGGGTTAATGCAGATTCATATGTAAATACACCCAATAAAAAAGACTTTAAATGTCCAATATTTTTATTTTCAAAAGTAAAGGTCCCTACATTTGAAAATAAAAATAATACAGTGATTTTGCGGTTTGTGCAGGAAAATTCTTCTAAGTTCAGACAGACAGCAGGAATCAACAATCTCCTTATGCATTCTGTGGATGAGCTGTGATGGCTTTCCATGAACCAACATAGTGCTGATTAGTTTTAAATGTTTTTAGGTGTAGAACTTTTATATTATTTAATTTTATTGATTATAACATTTTATATCTTCTGATTGAACCTCTAGATGTATTTAAAATTCCAAAAACAAAGGAATTTACCAATTTCGTGGACATTTTAAAACATAAAAAGTAACTTTATGGTTACTTTCACTACTAAAGAGTTACTTTCACTCATTTGGAGAAAAAACTAATTACTATAACTAGTAACTTTTCTTTAGATAACTACATCAGATCACACCTTTTATGGTAACATCAGGGGCTATTTCATAATTAGTTTCAATTGGCTCAGTATTGACTGAATGATATGGTTGTAAAGGCCAGATTAGGACAGTTGTTAAATGTCATTAGTTAGTACAGTTGGTCAAAATTTAACCTATTCTTTCTACAAATTATTTTTGAAACAGCAATTATTGTCTCATGTTACTGCTACTGCAAAAATAGTGCAATGCATTGCATTTTTTGGCCTCCCTCCACTCAACGTGTTCTTTAAAAACAATCAAGACGATCATTACCAGTTTAAAAGTGTCTTTCTTCATTCCTAGATAATTAGCTGCTTGAACAAAATGTATTTACAATTTGTATTTTTTGTTTTCATGGATACATTTTTCCATAAAACCAAATATAAGTTAAAGAATTTCTACTGAATGTAGAATTATCTAATGCTCTTGGAGTTAGGAGCAGAAAGTTGGCGTCTGAAGCAGATCCCAACCTTAGAGACTGATAATTAGCAAGTCTGTTCTCTCTATATGCTTACATTCCACCTGAACTGAGAGGTCATGGGCTAACAGATACTGGGTTTTGCTGCACTTTGTCAAGATGTTTAGCAAGGTGTTCTGCAAGGATATAATGTAGCATAAATGGTGCCACTAAAATTAATAACAACAAGCTTTAAATTAGGACAGTAAAATGCATTTATTTTATGTATTTCCAGTCTTAGCCTCATTCTATATGTGGGGTTTCAGTAAAAGTTGCACTTTCAGCTAATCGTTTGCAACACAAGCTAGCAGTTTTTGCTTCAAAGCTCATGATATTGATGACTCGTTGGCTGCAGGGCTGCAGATGTCTTAACATTACAGAATGGTGTGCAACTGAAGCAATGCAAGTGGCATTCATGTAAACTCTGCAGAGTGCATACAGTGATAGTTCAGTAAATGCCTCCCGACTGTCTTCTCTCTTTAGGTGCATTTGAAACTAAACCAGCAACTCAGTGACCTGCGGTCACATGAACTGTCTGCTCTTCAACAAATCAACTAATTACATCAAACCGTTCAGAAAACTGTTTTACCTCAAATGTTTTAACAGAAATAATATAATTAATTGTATAACATGCAGGTTTTAAATAACTAAAGATGTGCTTACAATATTTTCTTCTGAAATATTGATATTTTGTAATGTACAAAGTATCTTCATTCTGTTCTCCTTTAGGTCCTTCAAGGAAAGACGAAGCAACGCAAAGGGGAAGTGACAAGTTGGAGGAAGACTGTCAGCAGAGTTTAGAGTGGTGATGAGTATTTGCAGAAGCAAACTCCCTCCCAGCATATGAGCAACAAATCTCTTTATTAACATCTTGCCTCAGAGTGAGCAGAGCTCCACTGAGAGGAGGCACAAAGTTGGAGAGTGAAGTGCACAGCTCCTGTTGTTGGCCAAGATGGCAGCCCTGATAGAAAAGCAGCAGGGCTTGGGGCTGCTGAGGGTCCTCCTGGTGTTGCTGGGGATTTCAGTGCTTTGCAGCGTTGCATTAGGAACCAGGAAAGGGCATGCTTCTCTTGACCACAGGAGCCACAGACACAGACATCCAGGTAAAACAACCAGAAATACAAATGCGTTCTTAGTTTCTAACATCACTTCTTTTTTACCTTTTATTTTCAGATATATTTTCATTATAATATTTTACATAAATGTTCATATATATACAAAACAAACATATTATATATATATATATATGAAATAAAATCAGCAGGAATTTGCTACTCTGCTGGAAAACAATGTGGAAATCTGGCATTGTTTATGAATAATTAGATGATTATAATTCAGCATTATCGAACCACTAATGAGGAAATATAGGAAAGCTATTTTAACTTAGCAAATTCAAAACACATGTTGCAACCTACGTATTACTGAATGAATAAAAAAATGGATGAAAGACACTAATTGAAAAACAATTACTAAGAGTCTGAAAGGTGACATAATTCTAATCCTTTATCGCAGTGAAACTTTGGAAAAATGGAATCAACTTAAATCCAGACCAGGTAGAAATCTGATAAATGGTGCGTGGAGCTCACTGATCTTCAGATGTTAACTTCCTTTCTGAGTGGAAAAAAAATTAAAAATTATTTGCCAAGAGTGACTGAAATACTGCTTTTCATTGGGCATCCCGCTAAGTGGTCTGAGGTGCACAAATATATCAAAAATGATATTAATACATAAATTCTGTGACATTCGCAACAACGGCTAAAAATATTACAGTGTGATAATGTTGTGAATTTGTATAATGATGCCATCAATCACAATCAACTCATTTTTTTCACACTACTCTTTAACAACTATCACAAAATCACCACCATCTTTCTTGGCTTTCTGTTCTTGGCCACAAAAATCTATCTACATCTAGTTAGTCTTTTATTTGAATTTTAAAAGCATTGATATTAAAAGCAACTGTGGTTCAATAAAATATGCAGGTCTATTAAATTTGTTTCTGTTCTCCATTGTCCTGTAATTCCAAACAGGAAGCCTGTTCACAGCAATTACATTAAACTGTTTGAAAAACCTCAACTTATAAAATCGGCCAAACATTTGCAAATTGTTTGCAAATCTAAGATTAAATCTCCTTCTAATTCAGAGAGTTGGACATCCGCTTTTTATATTGTTTTATTGAAATAACACCTTTGTTTTTTAAAGGAATTGTTATGCATTCAGGAGTCCACCCATATTCATCACCTCAAATGATAAAATATGTCTTCTAAATTCTAAAAGTTGCCAAGTCGGTGTATTGAAAGGTTTTATGTATAACTGTAATGATGACTTACATTTGTTTCCGTATTTGTACCAAATATCATAGAGTCATTCTTGATATAACCAGTCATCTTAGCTTCAGTCAAATTTTATCTCTAAATAAATGATTTAACAACAGAAATAAAACAACAACACAGCAAGTTTCTCTGAAAACAAGATAGATTTAGTTTGTCTCTTTGAATGATTATTCATTCTTACATCGTAATGTCTTAAATGTGTTTAATATCTTTAGTTCTGAAATATTCTTTGTGTGGCATGTATTGTTTTAACTGAATGTTATATTGTTTATTTGATTATTGTGATGTTTTAGGTCACTTATCCCTGCATAGACTTAGACAGAGGACAGGAAAGGAAGGCCAGGTACTACACCGGTCCAAACGAGGTTGGGTGTGGAATCAGTTCTTTGTTATTGAGGAATACACCGGTCCTGACCCAGTGCTGGTGGGGAGGGTAAGTTTGAATAATAGCACCCCTGTGACATAAAGTACGCTAAATATATAAAAGAGCAGACACCCATTTGATTAACCTGCAGAGGTAGAATCTGGATCAATAGATTTGCAAACTGTATGATAATACAAGTACTTCCGAGGCTGAGGATAGTGCTTTTATAGTTGCAGCTCTCATGTTGTGCAACAGGTTACAGCTGAATGTAAGGCAGCCACCTTCTCGTTCTTCTTATTTTTAAAGTCTCATCTTTTTTCTGTGGCCTTCAGCTCAGCTGAAGTTGTTTGTTTCTTTACCTTCATTAATCAGCTCTTTACTTTGCTTTTATGTCTGTTTTAGTTTATTTTATCAATGTATACAGCACTCAGGAAACAGTCTTTCTTTTTAAAAGTGATTTACAAATAGATTCGATTTAAATTTTGATTTGAAAGAAAAGTTGTTTTTTTTATAAAAACCTGGCAAGTATTTGCATTCAGTCCTTATGAGTCAATACTTTCTAGAACCAACTAAGACTCAAGACTTTAGGTTATGTCTCTACAACAAAATCAGTCTACAACTAAATGATTCTGTTTTATCTTCCTGTATTTTAATCATGTAAAGCACTTTGCATTGTCTTTGTGCTGAATTGTGCTATACAAATAAATTTGCCTTGCCTTGCCTTACAACTTTTGTCGGTCTAGATATTAGCTAACCTGCTCATTATTCATTGCAAAATAGCTTCAATATAGCCTGATTAGGTGGAGTTAATCTATAAACTATTTCCAAGGTTTATAAAAAGTCTGAATTGGATTTAGGTCTGGACCTTGACTTTTCTGTCACTGGCTATATACAGGTCATCTTCCAGTGTTGTCTCATCCTTTGTATATCCTTTCCTCTATTAACAGCCTCGCTAGCCATACTGTTGTACATTAGGGAATTTTCTAATGCTTACAGTGAGTCACTACCATTCATTGTACAGTATAGCAAAGGTGAATACTAACTTATTATGGGAGTGAGAATAATATGAAAGAAAACAAGGGGCTACATTGACCTTCATTAATAAGAAAGACTGGTGGTTTTCCTTGACAATAACAAGACAACAAAAGTGCCGGAAATGTGACTAATTTAGTTAGTAATAAGGCTGTAAGCATGCAAGAAGCAACTAAATTATTGTTAAACTATCCTATTTATAACATAGGGCGAAGGTGGCGTCGGGTGCAGGAGTTTGCCCTGCAATAGGAGGGTTGTCAGTTCAAGCCCTGGCTCGAGCTTTTAGTGTCATTGTGTCCTTGGGCAAGACACTTCATCTGTATTTCCTACTGATGGTGGTCAGAAGATCCGGTGGCGCCAGTGTAAAGCAGCCTTGTTTCTGTCAGTGGCCCCCAGGGCAGCTGTGGCTACAATGTAGTTTGCCACCATCAGTTAGTGTGTGCGTGAATGACTGAATGTAGTGCTATGTAAGTACAGGCCATCTACCATTTTTTTTTCCTAAGTGATATTTAATTTCTTCTGTTCATCACTGACATTTTCTTGTCTATTACAGACTGTTCTTGGCCTCTTTGTCTCATCCTGTCTGGCCTTTGGTTTTTAGAGTTTGGATATCAAAGCTACAATTGACATCTACTGTAGCTGTCAGGCTGCCTGCCTATTCCTTTCAATGTTTTGGGTCATTCCCAATCTTTGCCTCTTGTCTCTTCAGCTCCACTCAGATGTTGATAAAGGCGATGGTACTATCAAATACATCCTGTCTGGGGAAGGCGCTGGAACAATATTCGTCATTGATGACAAGACGGGGAACATACATGCCACAAAAACGCTGGACCGAGAGGAGCAGGCCCAGTATACCCTAACAGCGCAAGCTGTTGCCCGAGACACCAATGAGCCATTGGAACCTCCATCAGAATTCATAGTGAAAGTTCAGGATATCAACGACAATCCACCTGAGTTCCTCCATGGTCCATACTACGCCAGGGTGCCTGAGATGTCCAATGTTGGTGAGTGATGCATTAGGGGACATGAGAACTGAAAAATGCTTGGTTGAGTGTGAGAAAAATCTGTAAGTGATAATAATTACTTAATTTGGATGCACATTTCACCTCTATTCCTTGGCAAGGGTGTTGATGTTTTTCTCTGAATAACCTGTAGAAATAATGACAGATACCTTTGCGCTGGTTTGTCAGTTTAACATGTCAACTGCCTGTCAGAATGCTTTTGCAATGAAGTGTCGACCAAACAGCTTTGGTCAGCTTTGTGACGTAGATGTATTTTCTTATCAGACTGAACTATATGCGTTGTGTAATTTTCAATAAAATCTGGTCAGACTGCAGTGACTTGAACCACTCCCCCAACCTCCTCTGAACTTCTATCATGGTACCAAGTGACTTCTGCAACATCCGCATCACCTTGTCAAGTGATGACAATTCTTGTTGACAGGAACCAGCTGTCCCTTTCTCTCCCTGTCCTGCCTGGATCCCCCACAGTTAACCTCTATAGCTAGCCCGGGCCAGCCATAGCCTCTCCCCCACCTTCAGTGCTCTGTTTGCCCCACAGCTTTGTTTGATCTACCGCTGTGCTTCTCCTCTCTCCTCCTGAGCTAGCACCAGTAAGCTGTCACTTCTACCACTCTGGTTCCATAGATCCAGAACGAGGCGCATCTGGCTGCCTCATCCCGCTTATGGTGCTCTTGTTTTTGCAGTAATGCCTGAGCTCCACAGCAGCATCTCACCTTACCTCTGTTGTCCAGGTTGTTCATCACCCTGTTTTGAAAAGCCATGGAATTAATGGCAGGAGTAGGGTTGTCACGATACTAAACTTTTCAACTCGTTACCGACAATAAGGAAAATATTCGATACTCGATACCATTTTCGATACCACAGGGATAAAAACAAAGACTCCAAAATTCTACAGAAATATTTTCAATAATAAATAAAACACAATAAACAATAAGAACAATATTTTGAGGTTGTATGTTGTGCACAATATTAAGCAAGCTTGATAAAAAACTTATACAATTAAAAGTGTTCCTTCCTTGGCTATGCTTTGCACACATAACAATGACACTAGCCAAACCGGTTAAGAAACAAAAATAATTCTCAGCAGCTGCACCTCTTACAAAAAAAAAGTCTGAAACTGAAAAGAGCACAGAATTATTCAATCACACAGTGATTCAATCACACAGTGTTCAGAAAGTGCATTGTCCTCTATTCTGCACTTTAGATGAATAACTGCTTAGGTGCCACAGGTGGTGGCACTGTGTCGATACTTTTAAAAACTAGTATTGTATCCGGATACAATGTTTCAGTATCGATACTTTTTTGAGTTTTAAAACAAAGCATATCTACATGTTTAGCCTCTTACACCCTAAGGGGGTATAAATAAATTTCTGCCTGACAAAAACACACAAAAGTAAATCACTTATAGCCTCAAAGCTATTAGATTTAAGAAGAAACTTTTGGTACGTCTGTAAAGGTAAGATGTCATAGAATGGTTTTCTAGTGTCAGCACCATTGTAGCTTTGACCCTGCCTGAAATATTAGGGACAAAATACAAAATATTTTGCATTTTTTGAACCTCGCCAAAATTTTCTTTGAAATAAACATTGCAAAACACTACCAAAATATTATTTATAGCACAAAAAAGTAGTACAGACTTTCAAATCTAAATGTTGTGTAAAAATATACCAAATGTGGACTCAATCAGATGAATCATATTTATTTTAGAATGGTATTAGTGAGAAATTTCTTAGGCGGAGAGGCCATTTTGGCACATTTATCCATAAATGTCGCCAAACTGTGCCAAATATGTTTTTTACATCAATACTGGGGGTTTGGTAAAATTACGAGGTCATGTAGCAGCTGGACCCGCCGGTGGGTCCGTAGGGTTCAAGGGGTTAAGGTGATCAAACGTCCTAGGCAGGAGAATGATACTTGGCCGATTATGTGAAAATGGCAGATTGACCAATGCAAGTCTAGTTTACATAGTTGATTTCATGAATAGCGTTTTATTAGTCTGCGTATGATATAGTTTTTATATAGGGCTAACTTGATGCTTTCACATTCGAGTGTCGAGTTACCATCATCCAGAGTGTCGAGCTTCTAAGCCTCAAAATGGAGCAGTGTCAGATATGAGGCATCAGATGCCTTTTAGACACCAGTAATGTCTTTTGTCTGAATGCACCATTGGAGCAGAATCCACTGTGATGCTCATGTTCTGATGACCAGCTGATTAGACAAACAACCTTTTAGCCTCCAAGCTGTGGCGTGTTTGTCATGTAGTAAAACTGATCAATTATTATGTGGGATCTGCTTTTGTCCATGCAAAGGACTTTACTTTACTGTAAATAGTTTCACACTTAATGTTTCATGGCAGTGTAAACCTATTTTCAAAATATCAGAACTTCTGGGTACTGCAATAAAATAGAGTTTTAGCTCAAATAGTAGCTTTTTCCAATAAGGTTCTGAAAGCTTTACTGAACCTCTGAGACTTATGTCCAATCCTATAGAGTCTCAGTTAAAAGTTAGTTAAAAATTGACTGACATTTGAAATGGGACACCTTTAGAGCTGAAATAGGTAATCAGATTAATCATGATTGATTGATTATTGAAAAAATCGTCAACTAATTTAGTAATTGATTATTCGTTAACAGGAGTTTACGGACTCTAAAACATGTCTTTAGCTTTATGCCAAATTTGTAAAAATATGTAAACATTTTGCACTTATGATAAAACAACTTTGTCTGTCAATATGCTCTTAAGTGGAAAGATTTTAGTTTAACCTGGTTTAATTGCAAAAAATCTGAATCTAGGTAAGTCATTTTTTCTTAAAATAAGGACATTTGTTCTTGAATTGAGGAGGTAAAAGAGACATTTTGCCAATGGAGCAAGACAATTTACACTTAAAATAAGAAACTACAATTGCATTATCTTATTTCAAGTGCATATTATCTAATTATCTTATTTTAAGAGTAAAATTACTCATTCCATTGGCAAACTATCCCATTTACCTACTCAAATTAAGGGTGAATACACTTAATTTAAGACATTTTTACTTATTTCTAGATAGTTTTTGCAGTGAGGAACCTTTTGATATCCGATTATTAATCGATTAATCAAAAAATATAAACAGATTAATTGATTTGCAAAATAATTAGTTGTAACTCTAGATACATTCCACTTGACCATGAAATTCAGGTCAGTTGTGGAAAGCAACCGTTTACATTTTCCTACATGCAGTGTATGAAACTATTCGTTTTTTTTTTCCAATCCTGTCAAGTCGATAAAGGCTGAGGATTTGCCAAGGCTCCTCCTGACTTGTCCATCTCTTCTGTGTGTCCGTCCTACAGGTACATCAGTGATGCAGGTGACAGCTACGGATGCTGACGACCCCACCTATGGCAACAGTGCACGACTGGTGTACAGCATTCTGAAAGGACAGCCCTACTTTTCTGTGGAACCTCAAACAGGTCAGTCTAAAATCCAACATTCTGTTTCTAAATTATCCACCATTGTTGTCTTGCTTGATTTATTTGATTATTTATTATTTATTTTATTGTTGCGCAATGCTGCAGTCAAGCAGCCATAAAACAGCTGAAATTTAGAGTCGTGATGATTTGATTTAGTGTTGGTATTCTGATTGTAACGGCCTCAGAAACTTGGACCCAATATTCAGACAGACATTTCAGGACGGTTTACAACAAGCTTTATTTAGAACAAATAACTCAGCAAGCAGCTGATCGTCACCGTGGCGGATAACTGGATTCACTGCAGAGGTAGAAAACACAGGTCAGTGACTGGGATATAGGGCTAATAATGACAAGGAGCAAAAGTCACTGACCTGGTTCAAAGTCCAGTCTGATCCCAGACAAAAGGGAGATTGTTAGCAGCCGTAGCTACTTCCAGCGCCCCGAATGATGATGAGCTGACGACAGCTGATGCTGAGGAAGCAACAGTGTCCTTAACCTCTTGGACACTAGGCCTGTTTTCTAGAAATATGCTTAAAAAATAACATGCCCAAAATGAATTGAATATATCTCAAGAACTACAGAGTTTATTTTAATTGTTTTGGTATCAAAATAAAGGCAAGACCCCAGAGAATATGTTACAGGTCTAAAAACCATCTTGGGGTGAGTGCTGAGGACCCAAATTTGGGTCCTCATGTTATGAAAAATAAGCAGAATCCAAGCCGAGGTCAGAGAAACATTCCAGGTTCGGTAACCAGCAGAATCCAGGAAAACAGTGCAAAAACAGAGCAAACAGAGCAGATAGGGGCAAGGCAAAAAAACTCCAAAATCCAAAACAGAAAACAGGTCAGAATCGGGATAACAGACAGACTTACTTGAAGGCTAGAGCTACTCTCACAGCAGCTTGAATAATCTGGCACCGGTGGCTGAAAACAAACAGCATATACAGGTGCTGGTCATAAAATTAGAATATCATGAAAAAGTAGATTGATTTCAGTAATTCCATTTAAAAAGTGAAACTTGTATATTATATTCATACATTACATACAAACTCATATATTTCAGATGTTTATTTTGTTTAATTTTGATGATTACAAATGACAACAAATGAAAATCTCAAATTCATCATATCAGAAAATTAGAATATTGTGAAAAGGTTCAAAATTGATGGCCCCTGGTGCCACACTCTAATCAGCTAATTAACTCAAACCACCTGCAAAAGCCTTTAAATGGTCTTTCAGTCTAGTTCTATAGGCTACACAATCATGGGGAAGACTGCTGACTTGACAGTTGTCCAAAAGACGACCATCGACACCTTGCACAAGGAGGGCAAGACACAAAAGGTCATCGCTAAAGAGGCTGGCTGTTCACAGAGCTCAGTGTCCAAGCACATTAATAGAGAGGCGAAGGGAAGGAAAAGATGTGGTCGAAAAAAGTGTACAAGCAAGAGAGATAACCGCACCCTGGAGAGGATTGTGAAACAAAACCCATTCAAAAATGTGGGGGAGATTCACAAAGAGTGGACTGCAGCTGGAGTGAGTGCTTCAAGAACCACCACACACAGACGTATGAAAGACATGGGTTTCTGCTGTCGCATTCCTTGTGTCAAGCCACTCTTGAACCACAGACAGCGTCAGAAGCGTCTTGCCTGGGCTAAAGAGAAACAGGACTGGACTGCTGGTGAGTGGTCCAAAGTCATGTTCTCTGATGAAAGTAAATTTTGCATTTCCTTTGGAAATCAAGGTCCCAGAGTCTGGAGGAAAAGAAGAGAGGCACTTCATCCACGTTGCTTGAAGTCCAGTGTAAAGTTTCCACAGTCAGTGATGGTTTGGGGTGCCATGTCATCTGCTGGTGTTGGTCCATTGTGTTTTCTGAGGTCCAGGGTCAACGCAGCCACATACCAGGAAGTTTTAGAGCACTTCATGCTTCCTGCAGCTCACCAACTTTTTGGAGATGCAGATTTCATTTTCCAACAGGACTTGGCACCTGCACACAGTGCCAAAGCTACCAGTACCTGGTTGAAGGACCATGGTATCCCTGTTCTTAATTGGCCAGCAAACTCTCCTGACCTTAACCCCATAGAAAATCTATGGGGTATTGTGAAGAAGAAGATGCAATACACCAGACCCAACAATTCAGAAGAGCTAAAAGCCACTATTAGAGCAACCTGGGCTATCATAACACCTGAGCAGTGCCACAGACTGATCGACTCCATGCCACGCCGCATTGCTGCAGTAATACAGGCCAAAGGAGGCCCAACTAAATACTGAGTGCTGTACATGCTCATACTTTTCATGTTCATACTTTTCAGTTGGCCAACATTTCTATAAATCCTTTGTTTTTATTGGTCTTCAGTAATATTCTAATTTTCTGATATGATGAATTTGAGATTTTTATTTGTTGTCATTTGTAATCATCAAAATTAAACAAAATAAACATCTGAAATATATGAGTTTGTATGTAATGTATGAATATAATATACAAGTTTCACTTTTTAAATGGAATTACTGAAATCAATCTACTTTTTCATGATATTCTAATTTTATGACCAGCACCTGTATAGGAGCAGGAAACAGGTGGACAAGATAGGTGGTAATGAGAAATTGGGCAGAGTTAAACAGGTGAATGGAAGGAGCAATGAAGCCCGCCACCAGCGCCGGGATCACGACACTGATACTAAGATATGTTAGGGATTTAAAAATGTGGATACAACCAGTCACATTTCTGATCCATAAGCTATGTGTGCTTTTATAGTTTCCATGGAAAGGTCTGATGCTGTGTTCACAGCATAGGCGTTAGGGGTGTCAGAAATGCTCAAACGCAGAAATCTGGACGCTGGATCAAACTCTGGTCAAGTTGCTTTGATGCTCTGGCTGCTCGTCACTCTGGTAGATTATCTGCTCTGTTCTGTGGCTTCAAACAAAGAATAGTTTTAACCCGTTTTTAAGCGAGAAAGTCCACCTCCAAACACAATCTGTGCGGTCAGTTTATCAGGATTGTGATCACATTAAAATTTGCAGTTGTTATTTGGAGCACCAGACCTCCAGCATACCACCGGGAGGCAGCGTTGGTAAACCCAGCTGAAAGCTCTCTGCTGTGGCCAGCCTGTGGTGAATTTCCTGCTACCTTTCGTAGTGGCTAGAAGTGAATTGAAATAGTTTTTAAGGTGGTAAAAACTGCAGGTACCAGTGTTATTACAATATTTGTCTTTGTCGGGTTTTAACATTTCAAATTTATTCGAGTATTTATAAACTGTTTCGCCATAGTTACATAACAATTTATTCTTCTGACTTTTTTTTTAAACCTTTAGCATATAACTCCCTTGATATTTATTTATTTTTCATATGCAGAAGCTCTGCAGAAGTGATGAGAGGTTGCAGGTAGTGTCTGCCTCCCCCCAAAAACTCCAAGGATCAGCTTTTCTGATTAGTCGAAGCTCCGGCTAGCAGCTGGCTAGCAGGAGGCAAGCAGGAAGGAGCCAAGCATGGTTCATCACAGCATCTCCAGTGTGTTGAAATGTTTAGACTAGAAACATTGCAAAGCAAATCTGCGTCCTGCAAAATAAATAACTCTATATAATCATCTGGTTTGCCTTAGATAGAAACTCTTTTGAAAGTGGGTTAGTATTAGAGGATACTTTTATAAGAAGAATAATAATGACACAGCTTTTTATAATAATACATTTTAACACACTGAAAGTATGATTTACAGTTTAGTTAAAAATGTTTTCAGCAGTTGGAACATTTATCTTTCAAGAATCTGTCTTAGATTTAAGAAATAGTCCGTTTGGTAACACTACTTTTCTGTCTTCTAACCTTAAACTTGTCTTAAGTTAAAACATGTTTACATTATGACATATCTTACTTGTCTGTAGAGAGGAGTTAATAACATTCTCTTAAACAAAATCAACAATAATGAGGATTATACCATAAGAGTAAAAAGGGCTCTGGTAGTGGAATAGTATCTGTACTTGCAGATATCCAAATTCAAAAGGCTGAATTTCTCAGAGAGATGAAATTTCAGATCCCTAAAGCTGTTTGAAATGTCTGGGGATTGAGGTGTCCACCTTTGACCACCACCCAATCCTCTTACACCTGTCTTAAATCAACCTTAAAATCATATTTTCAAAGAAAACTACGACAAAAAACATGTATATGCCTTTTTATAGACGGTACAGTTAAGCTAAATTGTTTCATAGCCCAGAAAATGTTAAATTTAGACAAAGCCACAGTTCCAACTTGACTCAGATAGAGAACATGCAGAAGGAACAAAATATTCTGATGATGTTATCAAGCCCTGAGCTAGAATATAAAATGTCAAAATGAGAAGAAACATGCAGGACACTGGTCCAGTCATTTCAGGGTCAAGAAATATATACTATAGAGGAAGCAAGCCTATAAAACATTTATATTACATTTATAAACCATCTCATTTATTTTCAAAGACCATTTAGTTGCCTTTAAATAATTTTACTTGTAGCTCAGGAGTCTTGGTTATAACACAGAACACCTTGTTTTGAATTGATGAAGGCAAATCACCATCTAACTGGAAGGAGAAAATAAAAAAGCACACACTAAGAGTTCAGAAGATTAAAATATTATCTGTAAAAAGGAGCACAGATGTTATAATTTCCTATCCTAACACTTTACATGTAAAGCTATAGAATCACTGATGTGGGGAGCATGTAACCCTGCATTTTACACAAAAAAACAGAGAAATTGAAACAGGAAGGCAGAGCAGAAAAAATAGTCTGAGACGACCTTGAAGCTGTTCCTGGCATAGCACTGACCTTATGCATTAAAAGCAGAAATTGGTTAAAAGGACAGAGGTTAGGGAAGACAGAGAGATCATTTAGGTCAGAGAGACTGAGGAAAAAACTGCAAGCACAGAAGCCAAAGAAAGAAAATTTGGTTCAGAAAGAGTGAGCTCATGGAAAAAGAGTGGTTAGGGCACAGAGAGTCTGAGAGATTTAAGGAGAGTAAATCTAGCTAATCAAAGCAGTGTTGGGTATTTGACCGGCTCAAATCCATAGCTCACATTTCTAATTGGTTTGGGGATTATAAGCTTTTCATGCTGTCACACACATACGCACACATTTGGAGAAAAATGACACCAGGGAGTCTCTCTGCAGTTGGACATTTGGAGAAAAGCAGAGGGAGACACACAGAGAATGGTGGGTGATCAGTTCAATGAACAGAAAAGATTACTTGAGCTTAAAAACAGTGGATTGGAATTGCTGTATGAAAGATTTTATCAAACAGATTGGAGGGTTTCTTTCAAATTAAGTATCTTAAGTGGAAGTTGCAGGGGTAGTCCATGTTTTGCAAAAGTTTTTAGTTTGAAATTAGCTTTTATGTTAAACATACTTTTACATAATATATCTTATGGGTTTGTATGAACTTGAAAAACCTTACCTTTAGAAAAATCTAATATGTTGTCAATGTATCATGAGGAGTTTTTGCAAACTAATGTGTGAGCCTATGCTGATGATTTAACTCTTATTGAATATTAATTAGAAAGGAAATGGTTATAAGACTTAATAAAGTAAGCCTATTTTTATATTCAAACTAATGATTATAGCGCAACTAGAGCTATTTTGGTAGATCCTCTATCAGTATGATTTTGATTGTCCGAGTTTTAACATTTTGTTGCAAATTTAAGCCTGTTTTGTGGTAAAAATGTTGATGTTTCAAGGAGTCATACAATTGTACCCAACAAGTCTAGTTTTCCGCTTTAAACTCGAAAAGGATAATTTACCAAGAACTTGTTAAAAAGAAGAAACTGAAATGAAAGAAAAGAAATAAATAACAGAGAAAAGTGCATTCTTGGATATTACTTTTCTCCCAACAAATTTCCTCTTTTGATATAGAGCTAATTTGGCAACATTACACATTCTCCTTCCTCCAAGATAACAATCCCTTAAGCCGGGCGTACACTGTACGAGTTTTTGCCCTTTCGGACCGATTCTCCATTCGTGTGAGAATATTTTTGGATCGGGCCGAGTTTCAGCTTCATTGTGCGTCGTGATTGAAAATATCATACAATGTCTGCCCTGCTTTAAAGTACAACTCACATTGCTCTGAAGCCTTAGTTCTGCCAAAGCAACTTCAGGTTAACAGCTTCTCTTCATGAGTTTAAAGTTTGTAAGCAAATTCACCATATATAACATGGTCTGGGTGAGTATTGGATTCTGTTTGGCTGTAGGGTTTCGGTTAAAAAGGGTTATAAGATATCTGATAGTTTCTGCTAGCTTAAACGTTAGCTGTAAATGGGAAGACAGTTTAAACTGGTTAACTTGGCAAAACACCACAACTCAATATGCAGGATTTCGTGAAAAGTAGTTCATCACAGGTGGGTTGCTTTTTCCGGTGGGTAACGCGTGACAGGTACACACAGGAGGAGGAGGGAGGTTGCTCATGTGGAAATCAAACCACGTGCGACAAAATCAGATGCAGCAACCCCTTCTTATCCTAAGGAGGGAATAAAACAGGCAGTTGTACACACAAACAGGAGTTCAGCAAAGTAAACTATAATAGCGTTGTCCAAGACATATAAAAAGCACTATGACACATCTATTTATACAGTTCATTAACTAAAGAAGTTAGTATAGGGATGAGTAGACTTTTAAAACAAGTGTGTAATTTTCAGCAACATCTAAAGGTCAGACTGCTCATTACAACAATGTGGAGGCTGTCTTGGTACAAAATTGCTTCTGCAACGTCTACTTTAATTACCCTGCCAAGTTAGATTTGTTTACATTAGATCACAGCATCAAATCCTTAAATTCTTCAATACTCTTGTCTCAAGTACTTTGACATGGATAAAAAGATGAGAAATTATGAGTTAAGGAGGCATAAATTAGACAATCTTTTTAAATCAAAATGGAGGACAGAGAGAATGCTTTTAAGAGGTTTAAAGAGGTTTTAAAAAAGCCATTTCAATTTAGACCTAGAAGGACTGTTTTGTGGTCCTACCTCCAGCCCCAGGTGATCTGGGTGTTCATTTGCAACGGCTGCGTCCTCCAAGGATCCTCTCTATCTGGACTGGATCCTTCGAGGTCGAAGAAAAAAAGGAGAGCTGAAAAGTTTTGTCTATAAATTCAAACAGGTCCGGCCTGCTGCGGCTTTTACCCCGGTATGCACTGTTGCATAGTAACCGTGACAGGTTATACACAATGCAGGAAAAGAATGAACTCTCACTGCTGTTCTGGGTGTTAAGAACATTTTTGAGGACCCTCAACAGCTGCATCCTATCAGATTTATAGTACGCAACACTGACGATATATTAGAATCTGTCCTTAAATATCAGCCTAACCCATTCACACAGGGACAAAACATTTAAATGAACCAAACATTACCTGCCACATACCTCACTAAATAACCATTTAAAACAACTATTTAACATCAAGTTCAGACTGAACTATTCACAAACTTGTATTATATGAAACTGCACATACAATATTTACCACTGTTTGGCACCAAACACCTTTTTTTCTGAGCACGGAGATGGCGTCTTGTTTGAACTTGCAATGAATTATGGGATACCCAATGCTACGTAGGATGCCCCGGACTCGTCCTTCAAAATGGGCAAAAAGAGGTTGCATTTGTTGACCGCATAATAAGAAGTTTTGCAATCCGAACAGACCTCGGCGCCATGCTATGACGTAATTGACCTACGCATTCCATGAATTCGAACTTAGCATACATATTCTCTCATCCTCCTCCCGGCAGGCTCCTCTGATCCTTTTAGATTGAACCATTTAGAGGTTAGACTCGGCCTGCCGTCGTCTTTTCGTCTGTCTCCCTGGTGGCTTTCTCAATGTTACAGTCCTTCTCATAATCAATGGAATTTTTTCTCTCTGCTGGTTTGTATATAGGCCCAACTTGCCACAGTACCGTATTTTCACGACCATAAGGCACGCCGTACTAAAAGGCGCAGTCTCAGTTATGTGTGCCATTACTGTATTTAACACACGCATAAGGCGCACCGGATTATAGGTCGCGGGTTTTATATACTGGTACATGTCTTCTACTTCGTTTAAATACCTCTACTGAGTATTTAAAAATAGAGCGGGAGCAAACCTGAGTATGATTGTGCCTTATTCATGTATTTATTACAAAGTATTAATCAAACCCATCAAAGTCATCATCCTCTGTTTCTGTATTAAAAAGCTGCGCTAAATCAGACATGCCAGTTTCCCCTTCTTTGCTGTCAGAGTCACTTTCCGGGCCGTGCGGCTCCTCGGAAATGATGCGAAAGCTTGAACAACAGTGCCTGCAGATACGTTAGCCCAAGCATCTGCAATCCATCCGCAAACTGTGGCGTAACTTGCCCAGCGCTGCCTTCTACTTTTCGCAAAAAGCTCACCCCACTCGTTCTTTGCTCGATGATCCACCGCTCGAGTCTTTCCTCCAACTCGGGCCACCTCGCCTTATGTCCGCGGAAACTCAGCTGCATCTTCTTCACCTGTTGGAGTTCGTTTTCCATCTTCCTCCACTTGTGAACCATCGATTCATTAATCTTGAATTCTCTCGCGGCTGCTCGATTTCAATGTTCCTCTGGGTAGCTGATAGCCTTCAGTTTAAACTGTGCGTCATAGGCGTGTCTCTTTGTCATTTTTAGGGTTTTTAAGACAACAATGTTCTGCATAAAGCACATACCTGTTCTTTTATACACAATCCACGCCCACACTTCCCCCTTTAACGTTCTCATGGTGGTTTCAACAACGTCAGCAGTAACAACACACATAGGGCACGCCGCACATTTTGAGGGAAAAAAGACATTTATATGCGCTTTATAGGCGCGAAAATACGGTAATATTGTAATAGCGATTTATACAGTCACTGATATGTCAGCTCTACTCTGTTCTGCTTCCACAAATGGAAAACGATTTCTATGTAATTATAAATAGTAATTTGTAAGGTATGCAAACATAAAAATTTAAACTTTCAGTTCATAGGTTATAATAGATAACATATGTTTGGATAATATATTTAATTTATTTTCAGTAAACCCTTGTAATTATTACATACTGTAACTTCTAGCCCGCTTAAAACTAAATAATTTGCATTGTCAGCCAAATCTGACTTTTGTCAACCAGATGCACCTAAAACCAAACCTCTAATACCAGAGCCCACTAATATTTTGTGCTTATTTCGCAAAAAAAAAATTATAGAAGTTATTTTGTTGCTTCTTTTTTTAACAAACCTTTACAGTTTTTCAACTTATGGCATATTAAAATTATGAGTCCTAAGCCCCTTTAAAATATTTGTGAATTATCGTTTCACTTTCAATGTTGGTAAAGTTGTATCTGAAAATACACAAATCTGTTTTGTGACTGTGATGCGCTACACACTAACCAGAGAGCAATGTTGCAGCAGCTTTATTAAGGTAATTAGTGGAGCTCTCACACCTCAGCAGATCTTTGTCCTTTGTTCCTTGACAGCTGTTGAAATTGTGTTAGAAACTTTAAATGTATCCATGCACTTCAGACGGAATCTTAATTTTTATTCAGACTATTTAATCCTTATGCTTCACATAAATTCAGTGATACCTTTGAGGCCTTTTTTCAGTCTCTCAAAACCTTTTATTAACTCTCTCCTGTAAAATCATCCAGAACTTATCCTTTCAATCTGTTTTTGTTTGTTTTTTTCAGGCATAATCCGCACCGCCTTGCCAAACATGGACCGTGAGGCACGTCAGGAATATGACGTTGTCATCCAGGCAAAAGATATGGGCGGTCACATGGGAGGCCTGTCAGGAACCACTGAGGTCAAAATCACCCTCACAGATGTTAATGACAACCCTCCAAAGTTCCCGCAAAGTGAGTTGCTTCTTTCAAATTATCCATGTAAGATTGAGTCTTTTCAGCTGTATCTCCACATTGAGTGACTCAGAGGAAAAAAACTGCAATCAGAAAGTTTCATTGACACCAAGAAAAGCCTTTGGTCCAGTAGATCTGCATGAGCAGGTAGATCTATGTTAGAGATGTCTTCCCCCTGCCATTGATGATGGAATGGAGACTGGAGAATGAGGAGAAACTTGGTTGTGAAAGACGTGGAGGAGTGTTGCTGTTCAGCTGGAATGGAAAGGCAACCTTGGATTTGGAGCTTTAAATGTAAAGTTTTAAAATATGGCTGCCTGAAGTGAGAACATGGAGCTGTGCTGATCGGCACAATCAGGATTGCATGAGGAGACAACTGGTGGCCAGGTAGAAGTCTTCTAGTTCAATTTACGCCTACTTTTATCCTAATTTAATACATTTTTAATTCCACTCTATGCTTTCATTCACAGAGAAGGCAGTTCCCTTTTAAAAGTTGTTGAAATCATGTATAGTCACAATCTTTAGCTCTATTAAGCATTGATGTTTTGCTATGTTATATTTCGTTACCTTATTTTTCAGTCTTTCGCCATCAGTTGCTCTTTTTTTCATTAATTCGTTTAGTTTTCCACCATCTGCATTACTCGACCATTTCTTATTCATACCACATTTTCTTTCCCCCTCTGTAACCAAGGAACTTCTGGTAAATGTTTTGCAGAAAGACAGAAATAGGGGAGACACAGAATTAGAAAATTTATATGTGAAGAACTTTATCAAGGTAGAAAAGAGAGGGACATGAGTCAAAGCATTTAGGAAAATGCATAACGGGGAGACGCAAAATAGAGACTGTCAAAGCAATACCTTTTTTAACAAGCTGTAAGCTCTTTCACTGTCGAGCAAAGTAAATTAGAAATCTTTTTTTATATAATTTTCAACTACAGCAACCATTGTGTGATTATGTTAAATCTTAGTGACCTAGGATATATTTAACTGTTTGTAAATGTTGTTCTGATCAAAATGTTCTGTTTTCTCCAATTTTCTATCTTTGACATTTGCTTCATTTGAAGTAGTAATACCTTTTTTTTTTCTCAAGTGTGTCTTGTTTAGCTAATATAGCTCTGTGAAGTGGTGTCCCTGATCTAGCTATACATTTTTTTTCTTTTCTAAAACATGACATGCAACAAAATGTTTGGTTCACAGTTTTTTCAAAAGCCAACTAATATGAATAGCACTTTCTGTTGACAAGTCAGAAATACAAGATGTTTTTGAAGTTCGCCCATGCATTAAAAAAGCAACAGCAGCTCAACCACCTGCAAGAACAGTCTCCACAGATGTTGAGAACCAGGACAGTGATAACTTATTCATCTGCCTGGTTTGCTTGAAAAGGGTATAAAAAGGACACAGTATAAAATGAAATAAGAAAGAAAAACAAAAGATGACAAAAACTAGAATAACAATGGCCCCCGACCAATCAGGTGGAACTTATCCGCGTATCTTGGTCTGTGCTTCAGCTGTGCAATCCTTTAGGCTAGGTTTTATTTAGATATTGTGCCTTGAATAAGCTACACTGTTGTACTTTATTCATTAAAGTGACAGCTGAAAAGCAATCATAATCCTTTAGCTCAGCTTGTCACCGTCTCGGGGTTGTCATGATTGGTTTAAGTGATCTAACCCACATCCAGAAAACCACTCAGAGACCAAAGGAAAAAGCTTAACAGGTTTATTAAATGTAGATGAATAACAGAAGTTTGATATGGAACTCAGTGGACTGGTGAACCGGAATAGAAAAGTCTGAAGGGGAGATCACAGTGATCAGTTCAGGGACCGTAGGAAATTTGACTAAAGGAATAGTACACCCAAAACATGATTAGCCTTCATTTTCTACTCACCCCCATGCTGAACAACACTCTGGAGTACTTTTTTGATATCTCAAATGCATCTGGAGATCTGGGAGGCTTCTTGCTGTCTGCTGACATTCAAATAATGGAGGTCCATGGCGCCCGAGGCAGAAAGGTCCAGAAAAGTCCACAAAAAACATGCCAATATTCCTCCATACTGCTCGTCCAATGTATTCCAAGTGTCCTGAGTGGGTAGCGTCCATAATTTACTTGAAACGAAGTCATTTAGAATGTTTTTAGAGCATAAACAGTAGTGTATAGGATTTCCTGAAAGCGCGTTCACGAGCCTACGGAAACCGCGGCAGACCAAACCAGATGAAAGTGCGCATTCAGCTCGGCAAAGAACTCATGCTCTTCCTCAACACTGTCCTCAGACATTTTTCTTTCGTTGTTTCTTTCTTTGCACAGGTAAACAGCACATTTCTTCTTCTACGCTTGCATTATCAAGAGCAGACACTGAATGCACACTTTCATCTGGTTTGGTCTGCCGCGGTTTCCGTAGACTCGTGAACTCGCTTTTAGGAAATCCTATACACTACTGTTTATCCTCTAAAAACATTCTAAATGACTTAGTTTCGAGTAAATTATGGACGCTACCAACTCAGGACACTTGGAATACATTGGACGAGAAGTATGGAGGAATATTGACACGTTTTTGTGGACTTTTATGGACCTTTCTGCCTCGGACACCATAGACCTCCATTATTTGACTCCTCGTTATGCGGCTGACAAATGCAGCCTTCTTTTCCCAGTTTTGTAGGACGTGTCTGGTGTACCCTACGTAGCCTACGTATCGCGTATTTCCAGCAAGCCGGCTGCTCCGTGCTCAAAGGAAAAAGGTAATTGTTGCCAAACAGTGGTGAATATTGTAAGTGCAGTTTAATGTAATACAATAACACAAATAGTTCCATCTGAAATTAATGCAAATATATTTTTTTAAATGGTTATTGACTCAGATATGTGGCAGGTAATGTTTGGTTTATTGAAAAGATTTATTTATCTCTGTGCAAATGGGGTTGGCTGACATTTATGCAGAGATTCTAATATCTGCAGTGTGGAGACTATAAATCTGATATTCGTGACATTCGTGGTACTGTGGCTGAAGCTGCTTGAAAATATTAGGACCCAGAACAGTAGTGAGAAGTTCAGTATGTCACTGTCACAGTTGGTATGTGACAGAGCTTATGGGCGAATACAGCTGAAGAAGGCTGGACCTGTTTGATCCATAGTCAAAACTCTTCTGGCTTCCTTATTTTCACAGACCCCCAAGAACCCAGTTCAGGTAGACCAGGGCCGTTTCTCAATATGCGTTCTTGAGCGTTCCCGTGTGCTTGTGACACATCATCAGCCTCAGCCAGAGCACTGTTCCAATTGCCGAGAATGCCAGACCTAGAATGAACCAAATCCCTGGATATTGTTCTCGCCCCGCCCTCTTTATCGAGTATGCATCAGAGCAGACGGCAGCCAGGGCTAACTGCAGCCGGTCTGGAGCAGCCATCTCTCTGCATAGCCATGTGTGAAGGACCGCTGGCTCTGATGGTGATATTTTTTGTTTCATTTGGCAAAATGTTCATTTGATTTGTGTTTATCTGACTGTGTTCATTATTATTCCCCCCAAAAATGAAAAAAATCAGAATTCATTATTATCTAAAGACTATTATTAACAGGAGGTGAAATGCAGCTCTAGACCAGCTGATCATGTGGTGACGTGGTGCGCTTCTGTTCTAATTGACCCATATTTATGCTGCGTGCTCCCGTTTTCACCAAGTCTAGACTTTCCTGTGTTCTTCTAAAGAGCATAGTTATTTAGAACATGAGTCTGTACTCGCGTTCTAGTAAATTGAGAAACGGCCCAGGTCCTTGGAAGACGCAGCCTCTGAAATTGAACATACCATCAGAGCACGTCAAAGCAAGGAGAGGCAGGGAAGTTGTACCAAAGAAGGGTTTTAGTATGCTGGAGTAAATACTCAGTCATCCAGCTCATAGGCATTCCAAAAAAGTTAAAAAATAAAATAAAAACCCACTGGACTTTGTTTCCAAGTTTGAAGAAATTTTACTTCAATTTTTTTTATATTGAAAAATGTTCCTGGATTGGAAGCGAAATGTCTTCAAACTTGGAAACAAAGTCCAGTGGATTGTTTTTTGTAACTTTTTTGGAAGGGTTTTAGTAGTTTGCCAGTTTGGCAATATTTTAGTTATAGCAAGTCAGACAAAAAACAAACCACAGTGATTTGTAAAATATGCCGGGAACCGGTAAAACCAAAGTCTGATAACACAACCAACGTATTTTATCAGCTTAGCTGCAATAATGACACGTCTTAGGTCAGAGCTCTCCACTAATGTGATACTGGAGCCAGGCTTATAGAAGGTCAGAAGACTCTGCCTGCAATCATATCATAAGACACTGTTTCACTGTTTCTGTTTCAATAAGACTTAGGGACCTAGGGAGTGCTTGCTTGCTTGAATTGAATTAACAGTATTCAATTTGAAAAACCCACACAAAGAAAGAAGGAAATTATAAGAGTTTTATTATTGACAATGATTTAAGTCTTTAGCACTCAAACTAAAGCTGGAAACATTGGTGGTAAAATTGACTTTAATATGCATGAGCTAATGGATGAGAACAGGGAGGAATCCCCACAGGCATGAAACTGTTGGAGGAACATAGAAGGTTCTTTCTATAACTGAAGGTTCACATGCTTGTGCTTCAATGGTGAAGCCCATCCGCCTGATGCCAGAGCTTCACTTGAAAAGATGTCTGATGCCAGAGCTTGAAACTGAAAAGATGGATGGCAGCTAGAATATGGAGCAGGTTCGCATGAACCTCCATAATGAGCAAATGTGAAGGTGGAGAGAAATAAACTTCCCTCAGGGAAAAGTCTTCTGTCGGACTGACTGGGGATGCCTGGTGAATCCGCTATAGACAGAGGAGACACTTCCCCAGGGACCAGGGAAACAGCAGCATAGAGTGAATCCAGACAGAGCTAGGTAACGAGAAGGGGAAGGAGGACGGTTGATTCAGGGTCAAAATCTGACTACATCTTTGAACAATTCCAAGATAGTTCAACCATGACTCGTAAATTAAACAGCAGATAAATGTTTAAA